GTTTCCTCTTTGAATGTATCTGCTTACACATGGTTTTGTTCTTGCAGGAAACTCTAGCAAAACAATTAAAGCAGTAGTTCTAATAGACCTATAAAAATGCACTCTTCTCTTGACCCTCTCACTCCTTTTTCAGAACAAGGGAGGCTGACAACACATTTCAGAGCTGTGTAGTACTGCAGAGCATGCTGGAAAGACTGTATACATAACGAGCAAAAATGTCTGCCCCCATGTACATGTAAAATTAAAATGTCAAAAACCAAACAAAAAAAAAATGTCAGGCTGAAACTGAATTTTTTTTTTATTTTAAGTTTTTTTAAATATTTTATTTTTTTATACACTTTTTCATTTGTTTTATATTTTATTAATTTTTATTAAATATTTTTTACATTACTTTTAGGGGCTTCCGGGAAATATTCGGGATTCAAACAAACCCGTGATATTTCCCTTTTTAAAATAGAAAAAGAGATTGAGGACACAGAGTCCTCAATCTCTTTTTCTGCATCCCCTGTTATAAATGATCAAGAATCCTCTATACTGAGTGTTCCTGTTCATTCATAACATGAGAACAGAGTATGTTTACTATAACTACAACTATGAATGAACAGGAGGTGATGTAGATGTAACCATACTATGTCCTCAATTATATACAAACACTCAGCGGTGAGTGTTTGTTTGTACCCTCTCTTCTTCCTGACACTCTGTCACAGGAGGCGGAGCGAGCGGTGCGGGAAGAGAGCTCAGCCTCCGGTGACAGCGCTGGCTGTCTCCGCCCACACACCGTTCTCCCGATCTGACAGGAGGCTGAGCGGTGCGGGGAGGAGAGACTCCGGCTATTTACAGCGCTCTCCTCCCGCAGCACTCGCCCGACAGACAGTTTCTCTCCTCCCCGCTGGGTCACAGAGCACTGCCCAGCGGGGAGGAGAGAAAGAACGGATGCACCGATATATCGGCAGAAAAATTGCACTTTTGGCATTTTACCAAAAGTGCCATTTTCGGCCGATGTATCGGTGTATCCCTAAAAATTACACATTATATTAAGGAGTAATGTACTTCTGCATGGAGAGACAGGTAAGGGCTCCTTCTGCTCTGCCTGAACCTCCACTATAGAAGCATGAAAATAAATTTTTGACACTTGTGGACTTCCGACCTTTTGGAAACAGTTTGGTGAAGGCCCTTTTCTGTTCCAGCATGACAGTGCCCCTGTGTACAAAACCATCCTCCATAAAGACATGGTTTGGTGTGGAGGAACTTGAGTAACCTTCACAGAGCCCTGACCTCAACCCTGCTGAACACCTTTGGGAGGAATTTGAATGTAGATTGCACGTCAGGCCTTCTCATCCAACATCCGTACTTGAGCTGAAGCCAATAATGAGCATAATATCCCACAGAAAAACTCCAAACGCTTTGTGGAAAACCTTCTTTGAAGAGTGGAGGCTGCTAGAGCTGCAAAGAGGGGAAGGAACTCCATATCAATGGCTCATGGTTTTGGTATGAGATGTCCAACGAGCTCATATTGGGCTGATGGTCCGGTTTCCACAAGCTTTTATGTGGAAAGCCAAGCATGTCAAAGTATGACATTTGTGACTTTCTCCAAATGCACCAGAGAGTTAAACTGACCAGCAGCCATTTTGTAATCCAAACATCTCATCAGTCCTCTTGGGGTGGCTAGTCACTGGTGCTCAGATGCTTCTCGGAAACTGATAGGCTACCATCTCATGGCTGCTCTCTCGGAAATAGAGAGGAAATAGATTGCCAGATTACTTTTTTCTTTTTATGTATTTATTTTAAATACTTTCCATCAGGTATTGGTAAAGCTTAATTTCCACCAGAAAGGTTGATTTGCCACTGTTAACCGCAGACGTTGATGTAAATTTGCTGGCATTAAAGAAAAGTCTAATTCTCACATTGCGAAATGTCAGCAGTCGTTTTGTAAGAGTTTATTTAATTGAAAAATCCACATTTGACTAGTAGGAAACGTATAAAAGGTAAGTTGTCTCCATGGCGACTGTTAGAGGGAAAATATACAAGTTAAATGCAATCTGCCATTCCTATTAGTTTCTGCCCGGGGTCTGATTAATGGTGTTCCTAATAAAAACAACATGTTTTCTCCTCACTTGCAGCTATTAGGAATTTAATGGAAGCCAGTTAGACACCAGAGAGGAGGCCGAGCGTACAGACCCCGGTATCTCTTTGTTTATTTAGCAAATAATTCTCCGGCGTCCTAACATGTACAGTATTTATGACAAGTTTAATCAATCGTGAAGAAAAATGGTTCTGGACACGTTTGGGCAAATGGTTGGTGACAAATTTAGCTTTATTCCTTTCATAACAAGTGTTGTTGCAAAGCATGATGAACACATTAAGCACATGGTCACCTAAAAGAAAAGTTTAAGGTCCCCTTATACATACGTTTAATCCTGCAATCTTCTTGCTGGTCTGGTCATGTCAGGGTCCTTTCTCTTCTCCAACATGGTCCTTACTGCATAACAGGACGGCGAGCACATGATGTCTGAAAGCCATTCCGTGCTGCAGTACTATGAGCCCAAGGGGCGGGACAATGACAGCCTGGGCCCTGTGGGTGGGTTGAATCATACTGGCCGTCCTTCAGCCTGGAAGAGGAGCACATCTAGTGCGGTAGAGAACTTTCTGCAGGCTATAGCTTTGTATTAAAGGTGAATTTTTGCACTAAAAGCTGTTTTTTAATCTAACAAATGCTGTGCTAATTATTTTGATTTTATTACATGGAGTTCTGCCTTTAAAAGACATGTCCACCCATAAGTAGTATGTTCATAATAGGTGGAATCGTGGGTTGCTTGAGGGACTTCAGCAGTAAGATCTTCCAGTGAGAGTTTTGGGCGTTCCAGCTCCTCCTTTTTATATGCCATAATATAAAATAAATAACAAATGCAGCAGGGAGAGTAGGAGACCCCAAAATGGTTTGCAGACCCAGAAGCTCAAGTACAAAGGTCTAAACCAGTGGTTCTCAACCTGTGTAACCTCAGGACCCACATTTGTCCTTGGTCATTAAATCGGGACCCAAGCCGCACATTGTGGTACTGCGCATACCGGGGGGGTGCGGGCAATTGAACTGGGCGGGAGGTGCGTTTGGGGTGCCATTCAAATAAATGGCAATGCAAAGCATCTCCTGCACCAGAACGTGTGGTAGGTGCGATTGCACGGTACAGTGCGTTAATTGCAAATGACTGTTCGATTAACGCACTGCACTAGTGTGAACGGGCCCTCAGAAACACTGACAGACACACACACACACACACACACACAGCAACCGACACAATCTCACACACGCACACTCCAAAAAAAGATCCACCCAGTCTCCCTACCTTATGAGAACTGGAGTGGATCCTCAGCCTGGGGTCCAGTGTGGGCTGCTGTGCTGTGATGGAGCTCCATCCAAATGTACATTGATTGTACAACTCCCTTGTGCGCTCTGTAGAGGTGTCGGGAGCCAGAATGTGACGTCACTCCAGTCTAGGCACCTCTACAGGACACACGAGAGAGCTGTAAGCAATGCATGTACGGATGGAGTTCCCTCGCGGCCATAGGTCCAATCCATCCCACCTCAAGCTGACATTGGTGCCGGGCAAACTCAAGGCCCAGGGGGCCCAGGCCATTTCCTAGACTTCTACTTTCAGATCTAGGTATTAAAGTGACATTAAACCCTCAGATTTTTTAACATAAACCAATACTGTAATGTGTGCCTTACTGTAATCCATGGTAGTTTCCCTTCTCATTGCTGCTCTTCCTTTTAAATCTGTATCTGTTCTCATGCTGGGCAGAACTTCTGTTTTGCAGCAGACTGCCTTGTCTCTGGAATGGATACATGGTGTCTGTATATAGGTTTGTATAGATTTGCAACCTGAACCAGCACTACAGGAAGAGGCACTCAGCTGCAAAGGGAAGTTCTCCCCAAGCATGAGAAGACATGGGGATTTAAAAGGAAGAGCAGCAAAGAGACGGGAAACAACCATGGATTACAGCAAGGCACACATTACAGTATTGGTTTATGTTAAAAAATCTGAGGGTTTACTGTCACTTTAAGTTATTGCTAAAACCAGTGATAATCTAATGCAGAGGCAATTATGATAAAGATTAGATACATTTATATAGTCTTACAGATACCTTTTGAGGGCAACTATAATGTTCATGCGGCCCACGATTAAATTGAGTTTGACACCCCTGGTCTCAACTATAGACGTCTAAGAAACTATTGGGTGGTCCATCTCTTCAGCATTTACTTAATTCTAAAATGCAATTCTGGGTGACCTGACCTTTTCAGGAAGCATTCAAAGCCATCTTTCAACTCCAAAATGGAACATGTGGGCCAGGGCCTGGGACCAGTAGGGTAGGGTGCCACCCATTCTTTAAACTTGCAAATGGTGATCATTATTTGGCGAATCTCTTATTTGGTTTCCATCTTCTTGTCATCTTTGGCCATTCATAGCAGCTAAATTCATCTAATGAGCTGTTGAGTAAAGTGTATGTGCCTCAGTTTGTTCAGGGGAGTCACTGTAGTTCAGGAAACCTAAAACCATCTCAACTTCCTCTTCTTTTTCTGTATCCATAGTTATTTTTAACAGAACAGACTAGCAGGCACCATGCTTCCTTGAATAGCCCATTCTAGCATTCATTTTTCCAAAATTTTCTGGATGACATAAACAGGGAAGAGCTTGTAAATAATAAGTGGCAGTGGTTTTAACCCTTCCCTTCTCTATCTAAAAAAAAGTGTTTAGCGAATACGTGTACTTAAAGGGGATGATTTGTAAAACCTCTGCTTAGCTATACACTGGGCAAATGCCATTCCTGCCACTAGATGGAGCCCAGGAGCATCGAAAACGGCGTTCGTCCAGCATATGGCTGGACAGAAGTTTCATAAATCATCCCCTATGACTATATTCCAGTTGAAAAAAGTATCTCATGGATTATTTTTTGTTTTTAAGAAAAAGCCTTGTGTTTTATATGTATCTTATATTTTTCCATAGGTTGAGTTTCCCCAGATTTCCGCATTCTCCAGCCTGTCACCGATTCCCGGATTTACAAAGTGGCTTCTTGGGACTCTAAGCTCGCAAACAAAAGAAAATGGCAGGATGGAGCTGTTCCTGGAGTCGGAGTGTAAAGAGATATCGGACATCACCAGAGCGCCGGCTGCCGAAGCCTTGAAACGTCTCCTCGCAAACAACGAGTGGATGAGGTCAGAAAGACTGGTCAAGGCCCTAGAGGATCCCATGATGAGACTCTGCGCTTGGTACTTGTACGGGGAGAAGCACCGCGGTTGCGCCTTGAACCCGGTAGCAAACTTTCACCTGCAGAACGGGGCGGTCATGTGGAGACTGAACTGGATGGCAGATACGAGCCCCCGCGGAGCCTCCTCTTCCTGCGGCATGATGGTGAACTATCGCTACTTTCTGGAGAACACCCGCGCCTACAGCTCTAATTATCTGAGGATGAAAAACATTGAAGCCTCAGAACAAGTGCTCAGTTTGGTGTCCCAGTTCAAAAAGAACAGTAAGTTATAAAGGGAATTGGATCGTTGTAGGCAATGGTTTGTCACTTGATGGACTGTGGTCTGTAGAGAAGAACCTGGCTTCATACTCAACTCATGCACTACCAACGATGATGACTTCATTCACTACCTATGATGATGTCATCAGACATTATTTATCCAGTTTTTTTTGGCTATTGTGCAGTTATTAGATTATAATTCGTTAACAATGGCCGTCCGGGGTCTCTGGTGACCTCTGTATGATGCTATTCTTCAGTAATTTGCCAAGCAGACCTCATCCTTCTGCTCTGGTCTCTTTTTGAAGCCCGCACAGACATTGGTAAACAAGGTCTCGTCTTCTTTTTGCTGAGGTCTGGGAGTGATGTCATCTGCCTAGACACTATACAACCATGACTCAACGTGCCCCTGCTGTGGTCTGCTTGACGTATCTTTTACCTGTGGGCAAAATATATATAATTCTGCAATACATGAACTATTCCCCATGTAGTATCCCTTTAGAAATACTGCAAATATAGAAAAACACCCACTGATCCTGTAAAAAATCCAGTGAGCGCCTAACTTCCTGTAGTGAGCTGTCAACACAGAGGGGAATTTATCAAAACTGGAGCAGTTATCCATGGCAGCCAATCAGCTTCTCTTTTTGATTTTCAAATCTAAACTGAACAAACTGAAGAGAGAAGCTGATTGGTTGCCATGCACAGCTGATCTAGATTCTGTCTGCTCCGGTTTTGATAAATTCCCCCTACTGTGCTGCACTGAAATCCCAAGCAGTGTTGTCAGCCCTGTCCAGTCCTATTCTGGACTGCTTCCCCGTCTCATCATCTTCCCATAACATAAGGGGGAAGCATTGTGGAGTCCAACAGGGAAGGACTGCGCAGAGATGACAACACTGTTTTGGGATTTCAGTGCAGCAGAGGCAGTGTCCTTAAACAGGAAGTTAGAAGCTGAGTGAATATCTGTCGGGTATTTTTTCATGCTTGCAGTGTTTTTAAAGAGACCAAACATGGGAAAATGTATTGCAGAGGTGTACTGAGTACAGTTTTTTTTTCTCCCCCCCCCCCAGACATGCATTTCAAAGCTAAACTCCAGGATGACCATGAGTATTATAAACCTCTGTTCCCAATTGTCTCCAAATTTATATAAATCACTCACAGCACATCCGTGATAAATGTTTTTTAAGTAGTCGTGACGTCACTAACGGCTCACAATTCCAGCCTTCCAGGGATTTTGGATGTATCACATGCCATGCTCCCTTCCTATCCCCGGATCTAGATGTGGCTCATAGAACTATGTTTTCAGTGATTGTTGGGAAATGTAGACACAGCTGTGGGCAGAGCCTTGTTCACAGGTAACCTTCCACATAGCCAAGCATTGCCATCATTTACCCTCCGGCTGCACTGCTATCTGCATTTGCCATCCATTAAGCGGTAAGGATGTTCATGGGAGAGGGGGGTATTCCAAGACTGGTCAACCCAACGTATTTCTTGGGAATTGTAGCCAGAACTATGGGCGGGGAACTAGGCAGTTCTTTGCTCTTAAGGAACTGCCCACATAGCCATGCAGTGCCATCATTTACCCGCTGCAAACAGTGACATTTGCATGTGCTGTCTATGAAGAGGTAAGGACATGCATGGGTGGGACAGACCGAAGAGCATTGCAAAATAGATCCGCCCATCTTATTTCTTGGGAATTGTAGTCAGAGCTGTGGACAATGGCTGGGCAGATCCTAGCTCTCAAGTAACCACTCACTTAGCCATCACCTACCCACCAGGAACACTGACATTTGCATATGCTGTCCATTAGAAGGTAGGGATATGCGTGGGAGGGGATAGACTGGGGATATGCGTAGGAGGGGATAGACTGGGGATATGCGCGGGAGGGGATAGACTGGGGATATGCGCGGGAGGGGATAGACTGGGGATATGGGCGGGGGGGGGTGGCCGGGGGAT